CAAGTGGCTCGACGCGAAGCCGCGGGACATCCGCAAGACAGATCTGGAGCTGGCGAAGCGGCATGGCCCCATGGCTTCGTGTAATCGCTTATTGAATTTGGAATGCCCTGCAAGGAATGCCGACGTCCGGACCTGAATCCTAAGCCGACAAAGCCCCACACCCTCAAATCAACCCAACCCAGAAGCTTGACCCCAAACCTCGAAACCCAAACTAAAGTGTCCTGAAGCATTCAAAAGCCCTGCAACCGCACGACCAGTGATTCGAAGGCAATGAGGTGACCAATCTGCTGACAGAGATCCGGCCAGAGGATTGCTTGGAAGCCCAGCTGAGGAAGGGTTTTTGGGCGTTTTTTGGCGGGCTTTGGGTTTGGGGCCGTTTGGGGCCGTCTGGGGCTGAGGATCCTCCAGGATTTTGGGGGCATTCATGTTGTCTACCCAGCCGCACTTCGGGCGAGGTGAGAAAAAGCTTTTCGCTGCCCGGATCTCCAAGGACGGGGGGCGTTCTGCTACGGTTTAGGACTGTTTACCTCCTTGAGGTCTTCACTTCGCGAGAATCTGGATTGGGCCTCGTTTCCGGTGCAGCCTGGTTTGCGGGCTTCGGGCGTGTGCTTGTGCAGGAGGCGAAGTGCCCAAGCGTCTGCGCCTATTGGTCAGAGATCAGCGACGCCTACTGCGCGCTGCTTAGAGGCTTTGGGGCTCTGGGCCCAACCAAGAGGTCAGGTGAGGTCCAAGAGCCCAGCTAGCGAGAGCTCAAGACCCCGGCCTCGAAGACCCCGCAGCTCAGGTAGCTTCCGATGCGTCCCCGGGTGTCCGTCCTTCGAAGAGTCCCCGGCCTACGCCCGGTCCTCGGAGCCTCGGAGCCGCAGAGGTCGTGGCTGAGATCCGCGCGCTCCCAACTACAGTAAGGTGACTGTCGAGCAGGACAGCAGCTGCGCACGCTGCGGTGTGCGACACTGCAGGCCAGGAGCTTCCCCCGCGTGGTGCATCTTGAAGGTTGCAAGGTTGCGAGATCCCGTTGGGGTGGCAGGCGATGCTCCGGGACGCAGAAGAACTACTGTGAAGACTGCATTGATGGATACCGGATGTCCCGTGGTTCCTGAGCGGCCCTCAGTGCGGCCACTCTGGAAGTTGTCTAGGGGGTGCAAAGAGTGGAGCGGAGGTCTGGAGAAGCCTGACAGCTTCTTATCATGGGTCCGTATCACCGTCGAGAATGCTTCTCGGACCAGCGGTGCTTTAGTTTTCCTCCGATTCGAAGCATTTTGAGTTGCCGAGGCCGTGGACAATGGGACGGTGGTTTTTGGATCCGCTTCTCAGCTGCGCCAGTCTGCTGGGAAAGCTGCGCTCTGGGCTCCTGCGTGCAAAGTTTGAAGTCCTAGTAGCCAGGTGAGCTGCCTGCTGCTCATCATCGCGTGGGACTTACTGGGGCGGCCCGTGGGCGCTTGCCGTTGCCTGCCTTCCTCGCCCCTCCCTCCTCGCCGCCCCCTCCTCGCCGCCCCCTCTCCCTCCCCGCCCCCTTGCGCGTCGAGGCCACGTGGTACGTGGACCTGCGCTGCCTCCGCGCCGGGGACCCGGGGGCGCAACTAGCTCTGTAGGATGTTCAAACCGATGCCAAGTTTGAACATCCTACAGAGCTAGTTCTGCCGAGCCTGCCTCGCAGAGCCGGCGGCGCCCGAGCGCCCGTCAGAGTTTATGGTTTCCATTCTGTGTGAGTCTCTCTTTTTGTGACTGCTCGCATCTCTGTGCGGCTGAGGCTCCCCGGGGCGAGACGGCCGTGGCCGTGGACTCGTTTGCCACGAGCCGGAGGCTTCTGGCCGAGGCTTTCGGGGCGAAGAGCCGGAAAGAGCCGAGAAGACTTCAGAAGCGTGCAGAACTCAGAAGTCAGAAGCGACGAAGCGGAAGCGATCTAAGGCTGAGTAAGTGAACCAAGTGTTTTCGTTTTCTTACAGAGCCTGGGCCTACGCACGTTTTTTTGTCCCGGGATCCCTGGAGGAGGGAGGCGACTCCTCAGGCTCGGGCAGGCTCTACCCGCTTTACACGAACCTGCAACGGAAGCCCGTGGCCGGCCTCGGCATGATGTTCCTGATGATGCCCAGCAGAAAAGTGTGGCGGGAGGGTCATCACCATCCTTCGCAATCATCACACCCACAGCTGTGCGCTCTTCAGAGTTTCTGCGCGATTACGATGTTCGCTTGTGTAGCTCTGCCACCATCACCACCAACATCACCACTCTCCGCAAAATGGACTATCACCAACGTCTAGCATGACTAGTGGTTGATGCTCAGCCCCTCCTTGCCCATGTGTGCGTGACGACACTGTGCTTCCCTCAGGAACTTTCAATGTGCAGCTCGGCCTGTTCAAGCCGCTGCCTCATCAATAGAGGATCCAAAGTCTTGCTTGAGGTGATCATCGTGATGACGCTGCTGATCTTTGTGGGATGGCTGGGCGTGCTGGCGTTCTGGCCGGAGCTTCGGCTGCAGCCGAGCCTCCGAGCTCCACCCTCCGGCCATGGCTGCCCTCCCCCTGCCTCTTTTTGAAAAGTGGCGAACAGCAGATCCCAAGAGCACAGCAGAAAAAGTTTCCGAGCCCCGCTCCGGCCGCAATGCGCACATCGCCTGAGCCTGGAAGCAAGGAACCTCCGTCCGGGGGACCCCAAAGCTCGGCTGCTCTGCTCATCTCCCCGCTTAGCTGCGCAGAGAGCGCAGCTGCGTTGCTGCGTTGCACCTGCGTTAGCGGGGTCTCTGCACAGCCGTCTCAGGATCTGAACAGCGTGGGCATCAACGAGGTGGGGGCCGGTTCCCGTTCTCGCAGCCACGAGAAGCCTCGAAAAATCTCGCAGAAGCCTGACCTCTATGGGCCTGCCCATACCTCCCAGCCTCCCTTCTTCAGCGGATGGCTGCATTCTGCATATGCCCGTCGTCGCTCCAGGTGGAGGACGCGCGGCAGCAGTGCTCCATCGCCCACTGGGGCGCGGAGGTCCAGAACCTCGCGGCTCGGCTCCGGAGCATTCGCAGAGAGATCTCTCTGCTCCCAGCTGTCTTGAGAGTGCGAGCGCGGACTCTCCGGGCGTGCTGTTGGGAGATGTTTTTTGCGGAGTTTCTCAGGCCTTGATCCCCGAGCCTCTCAGCTGCAGCTCCAGGCGGCTACAGCGGGAGCGGTAGCTCTGCGTCTCGCCTCCGAGGCTCCTCTTTGCCGTCTTCACCTACCTGGCAGTCTGCTCAGAAACGGCGAGTTTGCACACGGAGTCAAGAGTCAAGGGCCTTCTTGCAGTCAGGTGATCTTCTTCCTTTCGATCGCAGCCGTGGTCTGCCAGCCCATGCCTCAAGTCCTTCAGGATCTTCGGTTCTCTGCGCCTCTGCGCCTTGCAAGACAAGGCGCCTGCGCTTTCTTCGCCACGATGCGGAGAATGCCACCATGAAGGAGACGGGCTCTGCCTCATGAAGCCCTGAGACGACGCTGTTCCCCCTTCCACTCTTTGAGCAGCCCGGAGTTCGAGGCCTTTCGAAACATTCCGCACCATCGTAGAACTCAGGACAACAGTCAAGGCAACCATCACCAAGATGATCAGCATCATCCTCCTCACCGCTTATCATGATGAGTTCGCATCTTCATCTTTTCCTTTTCGCTATAATCATCACCAAAGACAACATTGTGCAAGAAGGCCACCGAGTGACAGGCAAAACAAATCAGCGACAAGCAGGCCAAGCGGAGCAATGACACCACATGCAGCTTCAGCTAGAGCGTCGACAGCAAGAAGATCCGCAGCAACAGCACCAACACAACAGTCATCCTCTTGCAAGTGTATCGACGAAAGGTCAGTAGCAACGACAGCGGCAGCAATATCACAAGACAGCAGCGACGAAGATGCTGAGAGTTGGCTTACGAACAATCTCGAAGCCAGTTCCCAGCACGGAAGCGAAAGCAACCATAACTGCCCTCAGCAGCCCAGAGAATCTGGTTTTGGAGACATCGGAGGACTTTGCGGCCATCTGCCTAGGCGCAGCCGAGTTGCTAGTCTTCCCGCAATCGGCCTTGGAGCAAAGTCTCAAAGCAGTTTGTTGGCCTTGGCCGCCTTGGCCGCCTTGGCCGCCTTGGGCCTCGTGGCCTTGCAGCTGCAGAGGCCTGCCGGAGCTCTGTGGCGTGGAGGACGCGGAGGAGCGCGTGAAGGCAGCCATCGAGAGCCACTGCGAGGAGACTTTCAGCCGCAGTCATGGCAGAAACAGCAGGGACAGGGCGTACAGGGTTGACCCGGAAGTGACGGTGGCCGTCCGTGGTTTTTAGAATCCAGCAGCCTTGGATCCAAGACGGAGGAGCCAGAGCCCACAGCCCGTGCTTCGCAAGGGATTCTGCCTAAGGGAAATCTTCTCATGAGGCTTCGGCCAGTTTGCTAAGCAGATCTGTCTAGCGGAGTTGGCCGCAGCAACAGCCAGAGTCACTGTAATCTTCGGGCCATTGCCACCAATAGTCGTCATGATTCGTGATCGTGAATCTTGGCACAACCATCATACATATCAGAATCGCTATAGTCGTGGTCGTGGTGATGGTGTTGGTCGTGGTGGTAGTAGCAGCAGCAGCAGCAGTAGTAGCAGTAGTAAGTAGTAGTCGTGGTGTGAGTAGTAGTGGTAGTAGTGCTAGTAGCAGCAGCAGCAGCAGGAGCAGGAGCAGGAGTAGGAGTAGGAGTAGGAGTAGGAGTAGGAGTAGGAGCAGGAGCAGGAGCAGGAGCAGGAGCAGGAGCAGGAGCAGGAGCAGGAGCAAGAGTAGGAGTAGGAGTAGGAGTAGTAGTAGTAGTAGTAGTAGTAGTAGTAGTAGTAGTAGTAGTAGTAGTGGTAGTAGTAGTCGGGTAGTGGTAGTGGTAGTGGTAGCGGTAGTGGTAGTGGTAGTGGTAGCAGCAGCGGTAGTAGAGCAGCAGCGGTGGTTGTGACTGGTCGTCTGGTAGTGCGCGGGTACGAGCACGACTACGCCGGGTTTTGGGACCAAAGTTCCAAGAGCCCGGCTGCTCACAGGTCGGTGCAAATGTGGCCATAGCATGCAGTGCTTCAGCAGGGCATTCGCCTCAGAGGTGAGGGATTCGGGTCTGAGGCCATGGAACTGCGGGGTTGAGGATTAGGCGTTTTGGGCTCAACATACCTTGGAGGATTTTGGGTTGGGGCTTTGGGTAGTCGGGTTTGAGGTCATTTTAGGGTCGACCGGTTAGTTGAGGCAGTTTGTACGGTTTCGAATGTGCCTGTCGGTATCAAGACCCGTTTTCCCTGAAGCAAATTGCCCAATTTAACTTCAAAGTCTGAGCACCCAAGGTGCTTCTTCCACATTCCGAGGCCCCCAAACACCAAAACAACCTAATGCCTCCACGCTTACAGGATGTTGTACCGGAGCCCTTGAACAGTCAAACCCCCACCGCAAAAACCCGTTAAGCTTGTGGAGCCTTGAAGCTTTACACCGAACTCAACCCTAAACGCCTGAACACCCTCCTAAAACCATCCTTCAACAAACCCCCCCAACCCGCTTTCCCCAAGACAAAAGAAATAAATCCACCCCTCCGATGTGTGAATTTCGAGGCACTGGGCCGATGCGCTCTGCTGGCTTTCTGTTTTGGGAGCCGAGGATCCGATCTCGTGCGCACCTCCGGTGGCTTGGCTTTCGGTGTCTTCTGAGGGAATAAAGTGGGCAGGCAATGTTTTGGTTTAGAACCCAATTCCGAGTTTTGGCGAACCGACGCTTTCCTTCTCCCTGATCCGGTCTTCCGTGCAGCGGGGCACAACGTTTCCATGCACATTTGTTTGTGCATGTCATGGGGCTCAGCGCAGCCATCAGCCCGCGACAGGTACGGGGCATGCATCGCGACCTGCGAGAAGAACCAGCAGTGGGAATTAGCCAGACACTGAGGACGGAACATGTGTGATTTCCCTATAGCCTATCAAGGTAAGCAGAACACAACACGACTTCCACAGAGCCCCTCGAGGCCGAGCTTTTGCTCGGTGCTGCTGCTCGCGCTGCGCGTGCCGCAGGCACTTCTTTGGGCAGCCGCTGCCTCGGCGTCCCGGTATTCATCAATTCTCGTGGCATCTCGAGTATACCACACAAGAAACTCAATCAGCATCCATGCCACGAAGTGACAGAGAACTAAGTATGTCTTAGCCTTTGACCGGTAAGCTAAGTCTGCATCCCGAGCTGCTGCATTGCCAGCCCGTTTAAACCCGAAAGCCGAAAGCGAGATGGAGCCACCAAGACATTGAGGCTTCGGACTGCCCCGAGCCCGACGAATGTTGAAGCCGTTGAAGCCACCCCATTTTCTTCGACCTCACCTTAAGCACCTTCGCTTCAGACGCCAAGCGCTCGGCTGTGAATTTTGCAATAATTTTGCCACTGTGCAGCCCCCATCCTTCACTTTAGATACTTGCAGCTGTCAAGAAGCAAATGATTCACCTGAAGGTTTGACCTGCAGATTGCAGGGGCCGAATGTCCGTAAAATTCAAGGGGACGGGCGCTAAACCAGATTGGCGGTGCCGACTAGGGAACACGGCTGCATCACACTCCTCAAACCTTCATTCTGGGCTCAGGCCCGGATTTTCATGCCAAACTCCTGAACCCAGAGCCCAATCCACAACAGACTTCAATACCATCAACCGAGGTGTTCTGTGCAACTCCTGCATCAGCGCCTACAGGTGGCTTGAAGTCCTACAGGTTGAAAACCCTACTGTAAGCTAGGACCCCAAGCTCTGAAGCCCTAAGGCCCCCATTTCATGCATTCTCTCACGCCACATTTTTTGGAGAAGTCCTGAACCACTACAATCCCGTAGTATCGATACGCATCCTGGCAGAGCTTCGCCAGGGTTTTGGCCCTTCGGATTTTTGGCTTACAATACGCGCTTTAAATGCTTTGGTTAACTTCGCGATTGCCGTGCTGGTGAACATTGGAGATGCCTGATTATACTTTGTGCTTTGTGCCTCTACCCCGCTCTCCCTTGCATTGGTCCCCTTCTCCAGTCCTTAGAGCAGTATACACAAAGCCGTATAGATCTAGGCCGGATGGGCCTACAGACCCATGACAACCAGCTGCGCAGGCGGGGTAAGCAATGGCCCGTTGCGATGCATCTGGTGGTGGGACACCTAGGGCTGAGGCTTTGCCTGCTTTCCCGTTTGATTTGGAAAGGGCAGCACCCACTTGGAGCCAGCCCGCACCAGTCTGGCCAAGGCAAGCATGAAGCGACATCGATCGGAGGCGTTGGGAAAGAGCACGACTTTCGTAGGTAGCAAGGTTACTGAACTTAACATGGTAGAAGTCAAAGGAAGATATGTCTGTTCTGCAAGATTCGCTGTCTACAGAGTGTTCAGCAGAGCCAGGAATTCCTTGGTTTAGAATCGTTCTTGGCTCCGGGATGCTCTGATTCTGCTGCAACGTAAAGCTTCAAAGCTTTCTCCCGTTATACTGGTAGCAAGCCTGGCATGTTGAGTCGTCAGAAGCCAAAAACATCCGAAGGGCACAGGCTAGGACGCATGTCGTGTGAAGGAGTATCTCAAAATTCGTCCGCTTTCTGGCTCCTGGTGTTGAGGATTTTCAGGGGTGCTTGGCTGCACAGACTCGAAATACGTAAGTGTCCGTTGGTGGAGAAGTGATGCAAGGGAGTTGAAAGTCCACTCTGCGAGCTTCACTTGGAGGTGGACGACATCACGGTTGGCGCTTGCATCAGCTGCTGCGAGAAGGCAAGCCGTTTCTCTCTCTTTGTCTCTCTCTCGGTCGATCTCTCTCTCTCTCTCTCTCCCCACCTTTTGGTGAGTGGGTGAACTTCATCCCCGTCTATGTAAGAGGATAGGGAGTGGGAACTGTAGCGATGCATAAGTGTCGACTGATCTCCAACTGGGTAGGAGCCCTTGCACGGTCTCAATTCTGATTGCAGCGCTGTCAACTGTCACAATAAAGCCGGGGCATCGAGCAACAATTGAAAGCTTAGGGGGTCACACATTGATATCTGGCCACGCGGCGGCCGGCCTGTATGTTTTGAGGCATACACGGCAAGTGCTGTAAATTACATGACTTCGCGTGTGTGGCTGTGGAAATGGAGGGATTCGTGCTTCAGGAAATGCAGGGACTCAAACTTAGGGCACTGATGTTGGCACACGTTCCTCAAGTGATCCCCGACATCCGCTTTGGGATCCAACTGCAGCTGTAGATGTATTCGATGAGACGCACGATGTCTACAGAGGCAAAACCGCTGTAAATAGCATGGTTTTGGGCATGCTTGCAAAATGGCATGAACACTTGTGACAGCGCCTCGTGTTGCTGAACATCAAACATCCTCCTGCAACATGCGAACATGTTGTATAAAGAGGCAGAAATTCTGCAAATAGCAGGGTGTTGGGCTGTTGGCAAATGTCATGAACACTTGTGACCGCGGCCTCGTCTTTGCTGAAGATCAAACATCCTCCTGCACATGTTGTATAGACAGGCAAAACGCCGTAGATAGCAGGGTTTTGGGTTGGTTTTGTAAGACGGTCGTAACCACCCCCACCCCCTCCTCACCCCCCCTGAAAGAGACATCACCGAAAGATAGCAGAAGCCTAGGAAAAGCACTTGGCCACAAGATCCAACCCTCTAAGGGCTTCGTGCTCAAGGTTCAAGGCCTTCAGCTTCAGCGTTCGGGCTTTAGTGTTTAGGACCCCAATCGGGTGCATTCTGCCAAATTCTGCTTATGCGCAGCATCCCTCGCAGGCTGAAAGGTGGCATTGGGCACAGTTGTCGCGGGGCCCTCAATGTCAGAGACCAGGACCACGTTTCCATCTCAATTCAAGGTATACCCCGTCCCAGAACCCCCCGGGCCCCGAACCTGAGCTCTGTTATTTCCTTGTCTGTCTGTCTCTCTCTCTCTCTCTCTCTCCGTCCCCCTTGCCCGTGCTTCATTTGTTGTCTTCTTCTTATCTGGCTGTTTGTCTTTCTCTATCTCTCTCTCGCTCTCTCTCGCGCTCTCCCTCCCGTGAACATGTTTGGTCGAGCCACCATGTACTGCCCAGTGAGAAATCAGGCGAGAGACATGCTTCGTGTAACCAGCTTCATATATGCACATGAATAGTCTCATCTGCCACATGTACATATACTGCATCTTATATGTGTGTATATATATATATATATATGTGTGTGTGTGTGTATGTAGGCAGGTAAGTAGGTATCTAGGTTGCAGGTATGCAGGCATGCAGGTATGTATAATGTATGTATATGCATGCATGCATGTTTGTATGTACGTATGTACATATTTACAGCTGTATGTATCCATGTATGTATGTAGGTGTGTACGGAGGGTTTCGGATCGAGCGCCACTGAAGCTGTGGCGTGTTGCAGCTGACCCAAGAGTTGGAGTAGTTAGAGCCGTTTCGCCACACTCTCCTGCGTGGCACAGGCGAGCACGACGCTCCAACTATCGGAGGTGATTGCACCGTGCACACTCACTAGGCCAGCGGATCGCGCTTCTCCGGCTTGCCGGCCACCACAGCCGGCCATAATACTGCGAGTTATCCGCGATGCAAAGAAACCACACATGGAACTCCAAGGAGCACAGTGGGGTTCGCCCTTCGCCATCCTGGAGATATTGGCAGCGGTCATGGCCGACCCCAAAGCATTGGTTTTAGGAGCTGCGCTACGACAGCATTCAGCTGCCAGACAAGGACCAGGGCGGAGCTCAGGTACATATATGCATGTACCGATGTACGTATGTATGTATGTATGTATGTATGTATGTATGTATGTATGTATGTATGTATGCATGTATGTGTATATGTGTGCACGTGGATATTTGAACACATGTACAGATATAGACTGATTCTGAAAGACAAACGGATGCACGGAGGGGATTGTCTGCTGCCCTCAGGCTGCAGTCTCTGTCCAAAAGCTCTGTGCGCCCGTCTGTAACCTCCTTCAATGCGGCAGCTGCAGCCCCAGCCGAAGTCTATTCAGGTTGGCTGCACGGTTCAAGCGGGACTGAGCAAAGGTGGTCGATTGAACCGGGCTGTGAGAGAAGTGTGTGTGGAGTGAGTCGGACACTGAGTTTTGACTTTACCACGTGCATGGGAAGAAATAAGGTTTGCGAGGGCCTTCTCATCCACAAGGTGTATAAACATCCGGCACGGCAAAATATGTGTATGTTCTTTTGCAGAAATCCGAGTGCTCCTACTGGACCACCATGCATCAACCCTGAAGTATGAGTCCCTGAAACAATGAATGGCGAAGCGTGCCCAAAGCCCCAATCCTTACATCCGAAGCTCAGGACAGAGAGTCACGCTAAGATCCACTTCACTTTGTGAGACTTGAGGTGTCTGCGCTTGAGAAAGCTTCCTCTTGGGGCAAGGCGGGGCAAGGGTTTCGGAATTCCACACTGAGGTGACGGCGACCGCAAACCCTAAACCCGAACACAAAGCAGTAAGGGCACAGGTCACAGTAGGTGTCGGGCGGGAGGAAGAACTCCCGGCCCTAAGCTCCCTGCACTTTTATTTCCTTTGGGGCAGCGCCTCAGCGGCCCACAACCTGCTAGGGTTTAGGGTTTAGGGTTTAGGGTTGTTTAGGTTGAGCCTAGTATGTTGGGTGAAGGACCGGAGCCATGAAGGAGGAACCTTTGCACACCGTACACTTGGCATAGAGGCTATTGGCATGACCTCGAGGCTCGCCTCCCTCGCGATCCCCTTGGCTCCATCATTCGGGAAGAAGTATGCAGTTCTGAACGTTTGGCGGCGTATGCGTTCTTTGGCTTGCCTTGTAAATGGCTTCCTCAGCCAGAACAAACTAAGCTCTACATAGCACCTAACACCCTCGACCTCTTCGATCAACGTCATCCTCCATAAATCCGAGTCGAGTACAACCGACAGAAGGAAGAGGATTTCTCGGGACTAGGTCCAGGTCTGGTACAGCGCGTGCGGTCGTTGTAAGGTTCTCCAGTCCATGGAGACAATGACCTGGCACTCTTTGCAGAGCGATGTGCGCCCAGCATTTGGCGTTACCGAACTTTGATGACAAGCCCTCAGTAAACTCGTGGCCGACTAGCCTATTTCCTGCTCGAGGATTGCCCAAGGCATGCGGCTTGATGGAGCTAGAAGCTGTTATGGCAAGCCTTCCAAAATCGTGTCCAAGGGAACCCGAATCTGCTATTTCATGGAAGACCGTTTGACAACATTACACGCATTTTGCGTCATCCCTGCATGTAAAGCCTTTGGAGACCGTTGTGGATGCCCTTCAAGCCTAAAGACAGCACCGCAAATCGCAATCCTTGCATCATGTAAATCGGGAGTGAAGCTCGGTGACAAGAGATGCCTGCACGACGCCCCCATCCAGAGGTACTGACGCAGATCGCCGCAGTTGCATCCTGCTGCAGGCATGTGCTTGTCCAGAATGCCCGCAAATTGCCAAACATGAAGCCTAAAGCAGGCTTGTCTAAACCCTGCAAGCCGTAAATCCTTAGCGTTAATCTTGGTTGGTCTCCAGCCCGTAGCCTGTAAGCCGAACCCAGAGACCCTGAGTCACGGACTGAATGCTGTTGCCAGAGTTGTTGCCATGACCCATGTCCTTCTTGGAGGCAGTCGTCAAGTAGTCACAAAAGAGGCAATAGTCTTTGTAGCGTCGCAACAGTCGTAGTAGCAGTAGTCGTCGTCGCAGCAGCAGCAGCAGCAGCAGTAGCAGTGGGGGAAGTAGTAGTCGTCGTCGTGGTGGTGGCGGTTGTGGTTGTGGCTTTGGCCGTGGTTGTTGTTGTTGTTGTTGTTGTTGTTGTTGTTGCTGCTCTTGCTTTTGCTCTTGCTCTTGCACCACCACCAACAACAAGAACAACAATTATCTTCAATCGAACCAGCGCCAGCGGATTCTGCGCTGGGCGGGTGTATTTTGTGCCTTGCCATGCACTCTGGTGAAACTGACTCCATTACCCGGCCTTACTGCCGTGTCTCTCATGATGTGATCCTGCAAACACATGCTGCTGAAAGCAAGCAACTGCCAAAAGAGCTGGGCATGAGGGCAGCTGCCGTAGTGGTTGTGCACGCTTGCAAGCCTCATAGTGTGCCACTCAAAACAGACATGGTAGCTGGCTTTAGCTCTCGGCGTGCTCACCAGAACCTCCATTTGGGCCCATCGTATGCCCCGCTGCCTCTTGCAAGAATCGCAAAGATGTCCGGCGCACACATTACCCGTGGTGGTGGCCGACTGAGAACTGGTTGCAAAAGCGATTGCTTGCTGATCCTGCCCCGTGGGTACGTGCTGAGCAGAAAATCATGTGCTGTGAATGAAGCTGCTGCAGCAACAGCAACAGCACCAGCAGCAACAACAACACCACTCGGCTGCTGAGAAAACGCCTGACTTGTTTTCGCGTGGCCTGCGTGGGCAAAACCCATGCTTTGCAGGCGGAAGTCTCGAAAGATGGTCTCCTTGGCTGTTGTTTTTTACATGCGGTATCTCCTTGTTCAAGAGACAAGTTGCGTTTTACTGTGGGAAAGTGTCAGGTGCAAATTGTACAATCATGTGTTTGTTGTTTGCGTTGTGTCGGTTTGCGTGGCCGGCGTGGGACAAAACCATGCTTCGCAACGATGTTGACGGTGATGACGAGGGTCGTGGTGCCGTGAGATGGTGCTGATGACGATGACTGCAGTGCGCAGGTGCAGAAAGCAGAGAAGTAGTGGGATGGGGTCGGCGTAAACGTTATTCCGGATCGGGCTTGGATGCTCTGGCAATGTGATGGGGTCGCGTGGACGTTTTTACGGATGGGGCATGGATGCTCTGGCAATGGGATGGGGTCGACGTGGACGTTATTACGGATCGGGCATGGATGCTCTGGCAATGCGTGGGGTCGGCGTGGACGTTATTACGGATCGGGCATGGATGCTCTGGCAGTGGGATGGGGTCGGCGTGAACGTTATTCCGGATCGGGCATGGATGCTCTGGCAATGTGATGGGGTCGGCGTGGGCGTGGACCTTATGACGGATCGGGCATGGATGCTCCGGCAATGGGATGGGGTCGGCGTGGACGTTATTCCGGATCGGGCATGGATGCTCTGGCAATGCGTGGGGTCGGCGTGGACGGCAATGCGATGGGGTCGGCGTGGACGTTATTACGGATCGGGCATGGATGCTCTGGCAATGGGATGGGGTCGGCGTGGACGTTATTGCGGATCGGGCATGGATGCTCTGGCAATGGGATGGGGTCGGCATGGACGTTATTGCGGATCGGGCATGGATGCTCTGGCAATGGGATCGGGTCGGCATGGACGTTGTTACGGATCGGGCATGGATGCTCTGG